CAGTTCTCAGACTGCAAGCGATGCGACATTGAACTTCACCTCAGTGGGCTGGGCCAACAAGCTGGAGTTTGGAAAGGGAAGCCATTTCTGGCCTGCTGTGCCCCCCACTCCACGCCAGGCACCTGCCACGCCTTACATCAGACCCTCACGCTCCCTGGTGGGTGCTATGGCCCACTCTGCAGAGTGAGAAGGGACGGACCTCCCCCGGGTCCACTCTTGACCCCCTGGAGAAGGGCAGGAGGGAGGCTGCAAGGGAGAGGGGCCTGAAAGAGTTCTCCAGCCTCCAAGCGAGGTCCAGTGGGCTCTTGGCGGTTGTTGTGCCCTGCGCAGGAACACCAGGGCTCCCAAACCCGGGCTCTACCTGGGCATTCGGGGGACACTGGGTTGTCGTGCTCCCATGCCTCTGCCTGGTGCCACCTTCTCTGAGGAGAAATGAGTGGGAACCAATCAAGAAAACCTTGCAGCTTGCACTCTACAAAACCAACACCAATCAGCACGGTCAGCGCTGGAGAGCTCCCAGCCCGTGTTATCTTCCCTTCTCTCTGGAGTTTCTCTCTTCCTCTTCAACCCATCCCAGGTGCTGCTCCCAGGCGTGTACTGTTAGCAGCCAGAACCTCCCTGAAGTTGTCAGATTTCCAGGGATTTTGCAATCCGTAAGTTCTGTTAAAATCAAAGGTAATAAATACTCATCACTTCCCAATGATAACCTGTGTTCCTGGGGTTATTTCCACTTATTGGATCTGTAGGGGAGGCATTATACAATGCCGTGCTGAGTGGCATCATGTTGGTCAACGTGAGTGTACTTACTCCACAGGAATCAGAAAATACTACCAACTGGGGATTTATGTTTTCTTGAGCGTCTAGGTTCTAGACTCAATTCACAGTGATGGGAAAAATGTTAATAGTGCAGATTAAATGCAAGTCTTGCGCATTAAGGTAAATGAGTTATAGCTTGACAGAAATAAAGTGTAACATGTCTGTAAGCTATTATGTTGCAAATAGCACAAAACATTGGGGATATATTCATCCAGTATTAGAATATAACTGGATTCAACAAAGACACTCACGTTATTGACGAGTTCCCACATGCATCCTTAACTACTTGTTTCACTTGTTAACATGAAAGAAAACTTAACCAACATGGAAGTCAGAACCACACTCACTGGCCAGTTGTAACCACAGGTTGGCTAATGCTACAACAATGCAGTGAAAATCAATGAAAGCCTTCTGTAAGAACCAATCAGCTGTCTGGATTTTACAATAACCAGAGTGAATTGTGATCTCTGAGGTATGTTGTACATCCTACAGCCCCTGTGCTCATATTCCTATTTGGAAGTGGGTTTGTTCTGTTAATGAGGCAGAATTAGCATAGGGTGTGCCCTCAATCTCTTCTGAGATATAAAAAAGCAGATAAGGAAGCAGAGGTGGGGGAAAATGATGCCCCACCACCTGACATCTCCACCAAGACACAGAAGGTGGAAAGAAACAAGGACCTTCCCCCAGAGCCGGTGGCCCAATTCAGACTCATAGCCTCCTGACCAGTGAGAATAAATGTTAAAGCCACGCACTTGTGTTATAGCAGCACTAGGTCACTAAGACGTTGTATTGTATTTTTATCTGTAAATTGTTACTACTACTACCACTACTACCACTACCACTACTACCACTCCTCCTCCTCCTCCTCCCCCTCCTCACTGCTGTCCAGTTGGATCCAACTCATAGTGACCCCTCCTTGGATTTCCAAGGCAGTATGGCTACAGAAGTAGATTGCCCAACCTTCCTTCCGAGGAGTTGCTGGTGGGCTTGAACTGCTAGTCTTCTGGTTAGCAGTCAAATGCCTTAGCCACTATAGCTCCTATAAATTGTTACATATCCTTTGTATCAGTTACATGTGTGTGTATATATGGATATACGTGTATGTGTATGTGCACTCACGCATGCACACACAATTTCCCATGGTGAGCTGGTTGTTAAACATTGGCTGGAAACTTCCCAAAGCTTGTCCTATGCTCTTTCTTCTCATTTTAATGTTCTCCTCAGGGTGAGCCCGTTATTCCAGATCCCAAATCCCTCTCCAGCTAAACCTCATCCCTCAGCTGGAGGCATGAATACCCCACTGTCCCTCAAGTTTCACAGGCCCCCAGACAGCAGGTCACGCATCTCCCAGAGCAGTGAAGGGAGGAGGGTCCTGGGCCTCGGGAGGCCACATGACCCGGGATGCCCCCCTCAGCCACAGGAGCCCATGGTACAGCCCACGAGGACCACCACCTGGCTTGTCTGTGGGCCTGAGGGCGAATCCACCAGACGACAAGACACGGGGGTAAGAGAGGGGGTGTCATACAGCCACCGGATGGAGTGTGTAACGGGTCAGGTGGTGAGAAGGGAAGGCAGAGGCCCAACATGGGTGGGGTAGGATGGTGAGATGAGAGTTGGGCATTCGGAGTTTGAGGTGTTTCGGGGACACTCAGAGGAGGCCGGATATAAATTTGGAGCCATCTGCTCTGGTGGCGTAGTGCCTAAGGCACTTGCTAACTAGCAGGTTGGCGGTTCAAACCCACTAGCCACTCCTCGGAAGATTGGGCAATCTGCTTCTGTAGAGATACCGCCTTGGAAACCCAAGGAGGGGTCGCTATGAGTTGGAGATGACTCGACAGCACATAACAACAGCAGCAAGTAGACTATCATTAAAGTTGTGGATGTGTGTGAGCTTGTCTAGGGCAAAAGAAAGTGAGGCAGAAGCTTGGGTGTGTCTTGAGGTAAGCCAAGCCAGGTAGGGTGGGTCAAGTCCGCAAAGGAATGGGGTGTGGCCAGTGGAGAGGCCAAGGGAAGAGAACATTTTAAAAGGTATGAACATGCGAGAAGACAGCTGTGAGGTGACAGTAAGGGCTCAGAAGTCCCCTGGACTTAGTGACAGGTGGGTCACTGTGACCTTAGCAGGAACTCTCCTGCTGGACCCATCGGACCAAAAAGCCAGCTGAAGCGGACCAAAGAGAACAAGGAGGTGAGGCTGAGAGGACAGGCCAGGAAGGGTCAGGCAAAGGACCGAGAGCCTAAGGCAGGGAGACCACTAGGACTGGATAGGACGACAGATTCCAGAACGTCAGGAAAGAACAGGAGAGGAGGCAAGAGACTCTTCCAAGAAGTTTGATGAGGAAGGAAGGAAGGGAGGGATAGAGGAGGAGGGAGGAAGGGCAGGAGGGAGGGAGGGAGGGAGGGAGGGAGGAAGGAAGGAAGGAGAAAGTGATGCAATCGCTGGATGGGACAACATTGAGAGTTTGGTCGTATGTGCACATATGGAGAGAGCTCAGCCAGTCTACCTATTGATCAATCAACCTTCTACCTGAATTAAGCATCTGATCTGAGGGCCCTAAGGTCCAAATGCCAGATCCATCACTTCCTAGTTGTGTGGACTTAGGAAAATCAAAAGATGACTTTAAATGGAGCTCCTGAGCTATGTATCAAAATGGGATTCAATTGATACAAATTCAAAGTGAATGCAACTGCAGAAAAAAGCTGCTATACAACGAACAAGAAGTCTTGGTTCCTCACACACGTCTTTGGTTGGCTGCTAACAGCTTCACGTAACCTAGTGGCAAAGCCAGCCATGGACTCCAACAGCCCAGGAAGATGCTTTGGGGCGCTGAGCAGGGATCCTGGAGCACTTCCCAGCATCTTATTTAACACTGACAGTGACACCCAGGGAGGAAAACAAGAACTCGGCTTCTGCTTTACTGCATTTTATTACAATCCTGTCCTTGTATTCCAGAAACAGATGGCTATTTAAGACACAACCCAAAGCACTCCTCAAAACAGATCCTGTTAACATTCAAGAGTCTCTCACTTCTTTCTCAGTATATTGAAAGAAAAAAATAAATCTTAAAAAAAAAAAAAAAAAAATCAATGGGCTTAGTTTATCCCAGGAAAAGCACCTTTACTAAACAGAAAACAAAACTGGCCAGGAATCTGACCATATACACAAAGCAGCAGATCAGAGTCCTGGGAGATGAGAAGGGCTTTCAATGGAACATAAATAAAACCCCCCAGTATATATATTTTACATGAGTGTGTGTGTGTGTGTAAGTAATATATTAAAGGAAATTTGGTTTCTACCCTCAAAGAGTTATCCAGAAATAATAAATCAATATCCTCTCTGAGATAGGGGAAGGAGGGTACTGCAGCCCATGTTCAGATCCAACGTGCACCCCGGGACACGCTTCCCCTCTGTACACTATGTACACTGCCAGTGAGTGGGCCAGGGGCTTCTCTGCCCCCACCCCACCCCCAGCAAGTCCAGTGTTTATACACAGAAAACTGAGCAGGAAGACTGGGTGGGAAGGTCCCTGTGTGCTCCCCAAGCCCGTCTTGCAGAGCTCAGGAGTCTGGAAGTGGGAGCCCAACCCTGATGCCTACCCTACCCTCTACCTGCCTGCAACTGTTTGGGGGTCCCAGGAGAGACCCCCTTTTTAACAGCAGCTCTGATTCTGGGGTCTGCTCCAGGCCCTAGTCTTTGTAGTTTGGCCCGTCTGGTTTTCTCCTGGGAGTGAGTGGATTGGGGAGGAGGAGGGAGTTTCCAGACTCACTAGGGCTCAGCCACGTGGTCTGTGTGTGTGTGTGCGTGTACACACGTGTGCATGCTTGACTGGAGGTCAGAGAGCTGCAAACGAGTGTTCTCTTGGGCATGTTTAGACTAGTGTCTGCTGCAAGGTAAAGTCAGTGTCGTCGCTGCCTTCTAAGTCGTCACCATGCGGAAGTGGATTTGTTCAGAAGAGACCAGTCCCTGGAAGCCACAGATATGGAAGACATGCTGTACACGTAGGAGTGCAATCCTCTTAGGGCTTGGCACAGTGTTTTCATTAAAAAGACAAACAGGAGAAACGTGTGGGAGCCCCTTTCACCATTCCTAAACGCTTTCCCGGCACCACAGGCAAAGAGAAACAACAGTCGCTATGATCAGACAGTGCGCACCAGTCGTCCTCAGGTTCTGGAGCTGCCGAGTTGAGTCACACGCAGCCATACTCGTACCACACCGTCTGCTGGTCCCCGCCTGGCTCCGGGGATGCCGGTGTGCTCCCACTGCTGCCTCCCCGGCTGCAGTCCTCTGGGCTCCGGCCAGCGTGGGGAGCTGAGTCGGGAGACCGCCCTGGACTCTTTGCGGGCGGCCCTTCACTGTAGCCCTGTGGTGCGAGCCCATCCCCTTCTGAGAGGCTGAGTCCCCCCCGGACAGGGGCTATGGTAGCCACCTCCCCCAAGTGTGGAGGGGTCTTGGGCTTAGTCCTGGCAGCCGAGGCTGCCACAGGTGAGACGTGCGGGAGCTGAGTGCTGCTGCTGCCACCCCCAGCAGCAATGGCTGAGGCTGTAGCTGAATGTTGCAGTGGGGCCAGTCGCTCCTCCTTCGCAGGGGCCAGCGAGAAGCGCCTCATGTCCAGCGGCCGGCTACGGGGGCCCGTGCCCTGACAGGAACTGCCAGCCTTTCCCACAAGCAAGGTGCGCTCCCGGGCCAGCCCATGGGTGCCAGGGGCTGTAGGGCTTGGCAGGGGCTGGCTGCCTGCGTCTCTACTCTCTGAGGCCTCGAGACCCCCTGGTTTCTGAGGGGACTCCTGCTTACAGGGCTCTGGCCCACTGGCCCGCAGAAGGTCAGCCGAGGCCAGGCTGAAGGCACGGTTCAGAGAGGTACCCCTGCTGGCGGGAGTGTGAGCAGGTGTGTGGGTGGTCAGGGGCACCGTGGCCTGCCGGGGTCTGCCCAAAGACAGGCTCTGGGGGGGCTGGGCCTGCCTCGGGGAGACACTGGGTAGGGCCTCAGCCTCAGCTGCTCTGAAGTTCGGCCTTACATACTGCCCAGGCTTCAGCAGCCTTCCCTCAGAGGTGCTGGTGGCCATCTTGATGGTTGGGGCCACAAGACTGGTGGGCATCTTGGCCCCGTTTTTTCTAGGCAGAGGTCCTGGCTGCCCTGTGACGGCTGGAGGGTCATTGGCCTTCCTGAAGTAGTCACTTAACAGGTCATCCCGGCAACTGGGAGGGTCCTACAGAGAAGGGGAAGAACAGAGTGGCAAGAGTGAGGCCTAGGCAGGCCCTTGGGGAGCCTGGCTCCCAAGGATACCCCTATGCCCTGCCTGCTTGGCTACTCCAAGGCATACATGTCATCCCTCCACACACGCTGCCCCGGTCAGGATACAGGTTATCGGGGAAAGGACCCCAGACACCACTCCAGACAGCCCCCTAACTTTACAAATAAGAAACAGACTCAGAGAGGGAAATGCCTCATTCAAAGCTGCTCAGCTTCCCAGAGAAGTCAGTCCTGATGCCTGGCCAAGGCCAAGGCCAAGGCCAAGGCCAAGGCCAAGTATGTCCACCTGTTTCTCATGTCCCTCCAACGAGAGCTGCCGGTGTGAACCTGACCACTTCCCCCTTGTGCCTCCAAGGTGCCCAGAAACATCACAAGGGCCATAGCTCAGGCCACTGGCAAGTGGCAAAACAAGACCGGCCCTTGAAAAGCCAGAATTAATCCTTCTCAGGACCCTCACCACCTGATCTAAGAAAGGGGGCAGTGAGGGGCCAGAAAGGTGGAGGGTCCGGATGTGAGACAGTGAGGCTGCACAGGGGAGTGACCTGCACTTGACTGTCCTGCTGAATGGCTCCCCACCCCAGCAGCTCCCACCCGGCTCCGCTTCCCTGGGCCGGGAGCTGGGTCTCCTGCTTCAGAGGTCTGAAGCCCCTGCCTGGGTAACTCTGCCAGCACCTCATGGCCTGGAAGGCCAAGAGGAGTTCTCCGAGCTGACGCACACTGAAGAGGGGGAGGGGACGTAGGTGCAGAGGTGACTCGTGGCCTGCTAAGGTGTCAGCCCCTGGCCCAGGAAGCCCCGTTGGGGACTCAGTGTGGGGAAGGGCCAGTGGATCTGGATGTCCCTGCAGACGTCTCCGGGCCGTGCACACATCTCCTGCTCCTGCAGACGTCTCCTGTTCCTGCAGACGTCTCTGGGCCGTGCACACGACTCCTGCCCCTGCAGACGTCTCCGGGCCGTGCACACATCTCCTGCTCCTGCAGACGTCTGGATACGCACCATGACAAGGCAGCAGTGTGCGGCACTACACGAGGCAGGCTGCTCAGCAAGAAGCAGACCAAACACAAACCCAGTGCCGCCGAGTCGACTATGACGCCCGCCGGCCCCACAGGACAGAGCAGAACCACCCCAGAGGGTTTCCAAGGCTGTAGTCCTTAGGAGTGGTCTCCCATATCTTTCTAAGTGGAGTACCTGGTGGGTTCAAAGCACTGACCTCTAGGCTAGCAGCTGAGTGCTTCACCGCACCACCAGCGTTGCTTTCAGTGAGAACACAGGCCCCGCTGACCCAGCGCTCACCACGTGCCGGGCGCTTTTCTAGGATTCTAGGATTGCACCTGGTGATCTCAAACTCCTTTAATTCTCAAACAGAGTTGCACGGCTGTCTGAAGGGAGTACTGAAACTGGGGCCGCAGACGTCAGTCCCAAGTCTAAACTGTGGCCAGTCTGGGATTAATCCTCAGGGCAGGCTGACCCCAGCGCTGCTCTCCTCTAATTCCACGTCCTCAGAGCTCACCTTCTTTGGCCACTCAAGGTAAGAGAGTCCCATCCTGTGACACCCCCTCCCAGCATCATTCACACTCGGGCAGTGGAAGGAGGCACGGGCGGTGTGGGGAGCCCAGGGTCACTTCTCTAGGGATGGGAGGCCGTCTCTGCATTGAGAAAGAGGGCGGGGTGTGTGTTCAGTGTATGCAGGCAGTGGGATGAGTACCTTGGACAGAGAGCAGGAGGCTGTAAGACCCGGCCCAGTCCCAGCCTCAGCAATGTCTGCATCCCAAGCTACAAGCCGGACCTGACTCTCCCTGTCATGAAGGACTCAGGACATGCCACATGGCCTAGGCTGGCTTTCATGTGACCATGGCAGAACTAAGTAACTGCAACTGAGACCGTCTGCCACAAGACTACCATGTTTATGGTCCCCCCTTTTACAGAAAAAGCCTGTGAGCTGGGCTGGGGGAGACTGAGAGCAAGGGCCCTTGCGTGTGGGCATGCTCCACTGCAGCACTGACGCCTCTGCCGCTGGGGGTACCGGCCACACCCGTCCTCCCCACCTCCATGTGGCCACGTGTCCTGTCAGCTCACTTGATCAGTGGGGAGCAGCCTCGGAGGCTGGGGCTGGTCCCTGGTGCTCCGTGACTTGCTGGCTAACGGCTGTCCTCTGAATACCATACCAGCACTGCCCCTGGGCCCTGGCCCCTTCCCCGTCCTGTTCTTCAGGCTCGGCTGCTGAGGTTCTGGCATGTCCAGAGGCGGAGAGAGGAGAGAGGGGCCCACACCCACACCCCAGAGCACTCACGTGGGGGGGAGGGCTGCGGCTGCTCTCCTCTAGGAACTCCTCCAGGGTGACCATCTCGCTGCTCGGGGAGGCAGAGCAGGGCCTCCCTGCAGCGTGGGGCTGGGCTGCACCCCTCCTCTGGACACCCTCCTGGGGGACCGGTCCGTTCCGGGGTGGGGGGTACTCATGGCGGCCAACGGTGTGGCGCCCCAGGCCACTGGGCTCAGAGGGCAGGGGGGCTGTGTCTCTGCTAGGGATGAGGTCTTCGCTGCTGAAGCTCTCGGACCTGCCGGGGAGCTGGTCGGAGGAACCTGGTGTCAGGGCGAGATGACAGCTCACGTCAGTTTCCTGCTCGCCACGGTCTAGGGGCTCTGTGCTGCCCCCGATTCCCTCAAGACATAGGCCTTGCCCCTTCTAGGCCAGGATTTTAGAAGTTTAAGGGCATTTCGGAATCTTCTAGAATTTCCCTCTGACGTTTAAGAGCAAAATAACATGAGATGAAAGTGCAAAGGTGCTGCTAAGGTTTAAATTATTCACATCTATAAGGCACGACACCTTGCGTCCATTCATTTACGAAAGGTTTCTTCCAGCTCCTTCTACATGCTATCACGATGAGTCAGAATGTTTGGTTTTGAAGCAGCAGTATGTGTGGTTTTTGGACGTGCCAGATGCTCTTCCAGGGACTAGTCATGTGGAAGCAAAGACAAACAAAATCCTGTCTTCGCAGAGTTTACAATCTCAAGGGAGAGGGTCTACGTCGGGCAGGCAGACAATACATGAGTGAAGAGATGAACACAAATGGTGCAAGGAGTGATAAGTGCAACACAGAATGAGAGCAGGTGAGCAGGTTCTGCTCCATCCTGGGACGCAGGGAGGTGAGAACAGCACTGCTCCTACCTTAACAAGACAAGGGGACACACTATTACGTGACCAGTGTTCTAAACCCATGGGAGAGCTGAGGTCACAGGACGCCTAAGCAGCTGAAGCCCAAGGGTAGACAGGCCCCTCCAAGACGGACGGGACACCACTTACAACTCACCCAGGCAGGTGAGACGCCAGGTGCCAATACAAGCAGCATTTTCTACAATTTTTAACTGGTTGCTAAAGGCTGAAGGTGGGCTAGCATGAGAATACAGATTCCCACAGGACTGCGTACACAGGTATCTAACACCCACTCAGAGGCCCACCCCACGCACCTCAGCAGGTGCTCAGGACGAGGACTGGGGGCAAGGCAGGAGACCAGAGAAGGTCCCCGCAGCGGCCCAGGTCTGGAGGAGGGGAGCAGTTGTCCCTGTGGGGAAAAGCACAAAGACCCACCAAGTCATTCTCCCTGTGGAACAAAAGCCTTCAGCTTGCTTTGGGGGAACAGAAGCAACAAACCCTGTCCTCCTCTGAGCACAAGTGAACACCCTTTGTGCTGGGAGAAGGGGCAAAGAAGAAAGCCCACTGCCCCTGGGCCCAGATCACTGCAGGCCTCCTACAGAGGAAGGATTCTCGCCTTCCACGCCGGACATCCAGGCTCGATTTCCAGCCAGTGGACCTCACACGTAGCCACCGTCATCTGTCAGTGGTGGACTGCATGTTTCAGCAGAGCTTCCACACCAAGACGGCCCACAAAGAAGGGCCTATTTCAAAAATCAGCCGTGGATCATAATGGTCCAACCCGCCACTGACCACGGGGACGGCACAGGACCAGGTAGGATTCCGTTCCATTAGGCACTGGAGTCATCATGAGCTGGAGGCCAACTTGGCACCAGCTAACACCACCACTGCTGGGGGGAAGGTCAAGGGTCTCTCTTCCAGCAAGACCTGCTGTACGTGTAGGGCTGAGCTTTGCTGCCAGGGGAAAGGACGAAGAAACCCAGCCCTTTCTGAACCAAGGATTCTCCTAAAGGAATTCCAAACTACAGGTCACAGACTGAGGATCACAACAGCGACAACAAAACCCAAACTGAGGTCAACTCCTAATGTGACTGACTGAATCCCACAGCAAAGACTGATCTAAAGAAAGCATGTGATCATTTACAGACACACTACTGACTGCAGTCTTTATACCCAGGGTCTGGTTTTCAACAAAAATCACAAGACACACAAGAAAGCAAGAAAACCGTAACAACACCACTGTCAAGAAACAGTAAAACCAGACCCAGACCCAAACAGAAACCGAATGTTGGAATTAACATGCAGAAAATTTTAAATAACTGTAGTTAATATGTTACAGGCTACAAAGATAAAGGTAGATAACATACATGAACAATGACTAGACAGGAAATACCAGCAGAGATGGAAACTGTAAGAAAGAATCAAATTAAAAAGCTAGCGATAAAAAACACAGTGAGAGAGATGAATCAGAGCCCTGATGGGCTTGCCAGCAGAGTCACCATTGCCAACAGAAAGAAATCAGTGTATGTGAATACAGAGCATGGATCATAATGGAAAGTGGAAAGTACCCAAATGGTAACACAGTGAAACCCAACAAAGAAACAAACAAACAGAACCAAGTACCATGGAAGAGCTGCAGACTAGTACCACATGGTCTACACGTCTGTAACTGGAAACCCAGAGGAAAAGAGAAGAGAGCAGAAGAGGTATCTGAAGAGAAATGGCTAAGAATTTTCTAAAAACAATGGAAGCTAGCAAACCACACATTCAAGAAGCTTAAAATATCACCAAGAAGGTTCAAACAAATTTTCTTCCTAGACACATAATTTAAAAAGTGCTGAGGAAAAAAAAAAAACCAAACATGCAGTGAAATTCTTGAAGGCAGCCAGAGGGAAGAAAGAACACATTACATCTGGAAGAACAAATTATATATAATAATAATAACAAATAATATATAATAAATAATAATAACAAATATAATTCAAAGGACAAAAAAAAAGCCAAGCTAAAATTCTTGACCAGCAACACTGCCTTTCAAGAGTAAGAACAAAATAAAGACCTTCACAGACAAAACACACATGCACACGTGCAAAGTATTCCTTAGTGGACCTATGCTGGAAAAAATGTTCAAGGGTGTTCTTGAGACAGGAACACAATGCTACACAGTAAACTGGAGCTACATAGAGAAATGGAATCTTTCTGAAATGGTTAAAATGAAGGTAAACAAAAAATAAACGTTTAACTTATTTACAATGTCTTTTAAAGACATACATCTTTTCAAGTTACATGTCTTTTAAAGACATATGACTGTCTAAAGCAACCAGAACTAGATGGTGCCTGGCTACCACTGTCAACCACCCAGAAGGGGATCTCTGTAGGAGATCCTGGATAGAGTGGGAGAACAATGTGGAATGAAACTCAAAATCATTTGGGGGGGAAAACAAAAAAAGGGACCAGGTTTGCTGGTCTGATACAGCCTGATAGCCTGATGGAACCACTGAGACTATGGCCCCTAGCTGCCCTTCTGGTCTGGAACTGAACCCACTCCTGTGGCTTCCAGCCAACAAAAGACAGGGATATGAGGTGAACATTTACACTAGGTAGATACACTCCTTGGAGAGAATAATCATGGGAGAGAATAATCACGGACTGTGTATGCACAGGGAGACAGCTCAGGGGGCAGGAGTACATGGAGGGATGACATAGGGAAGAGGTAACTATGGGGAGGAAGTAACTGTTGCATTGTGGGAAATTGCAGTCAATGTCTTGAGACAAAGTATATGTGAGCTGCTGTATGGAAAGTGAATTTGCTCTGTAAACTTTCACCCAAATCACAATTAAAAAAAAAAAAAAAAAAAAAAAGACATATGACTGTCTAAAGCAAACACAGTAGGAAGGAATTATGGGTTTACAGTGTATAAAAACAAAAGGTCCTCACTCATTTGTCAGTTTGTTGTGCTATGGTGGCCTGATGTTGCTGTGAGGCTGGGGGCTATGCCACCAGTATTTCAAATACCAGCAGGGTCACCCATGGTGGACGGGTTTCAGTGGAGCTTCCAGACTAAGAGGGACTTAGAAGAAGGAAGGGGCCATCCACTTCTCAAAGAACTGGCCAGGGAAAACCTTATGAATAGCAGTGAAACACTATCTGATATAATGCCAGAAGATGAGCCCCTCAGGTCAGAAGGCACTTAAAATATGACTGGGGAAAGGCTGCCTCCTCAGAGTAGAACTGACTTTAAAGTTTAATGGAGTAAACTTTTCAGCACCTCCATTTGCTGATGTGGCATGACTCAAAATGAGAAGCAACAGCTACAAACATCCATTAATAATCAGAACACGGAATGTATGAAGTATGAATCTAGGAAAATTGGAAGTTGTCAAAAATGAAATGAAACGTAGAAAGATTGATATCCTAGGGGTTAGTGAGCTGAAATGTACTGATTTTGGCCATTCTGAATCAGACAACCGTATGATCTACTATGCTGAGAATGACAAATTGAAGAGGAATGGTGTGGCATTCATCAGCACAAAGAATGTTTCAAGATCTATCCTGAAGTACACTGCTGTCAGTGATAGGGTAATATCCATATGCCTACAAGGAAGGCCAGTTAATGCTACTATTATTCAAATTTATGTACCAACCACCTAAGCCAAAGATGAGGAAACTGAAGATTTTTACCAACTTCTGCAGTCTGAAATTGACCAAACATGCAATCAAGATGTGTTGATCATCATCACTGGTGACTGGAATGCAAAAGTTGGAAACAAAGAATAATCATTACCACTAGTTGAAAAATATGGCCTTGGTGACAGAAATGATGCTCAAGATCATGTGATAGAACTTTGAAAAACCAACGACTTATTCATTCCAAATACCTTTTCTCAACAACATGAACAGTGGCTGTACACATGGACTTCACCAGATGGAGTACACAGGAATCAGACTGACTACATCTGTGGAAAGAGGCAATGGAGAAGCTCACTATCTTCAGCCATAACAAGGCCAGGAACTGACTGTGGAACAGATCATCAACTGCTGATATGCAAGTTCAAGTTGAAGCTGAAGACAATGAAAACAAGTTCACAAGATCCAAAATACGACCCTTGATTATGTTCCACCTGAATTTAGAGGCCATCTAAAGAAGTGATTTGATGCTCTGAAAACCAATGATCAAAAACCAGAGGAACTGTGGAATGATATCAAGAACATCATACATGAAGAAAGCAAAAGTTCCTTAAAAAGACAGGAAAG